AATTCCCCAGCCAGCATGGCTGGCTGGGGAATTCTGGGAGTTGAAGTCCACCCATCTTAAAAGTTGCTAAGGTTGAGGAACCCTGCTCTAGATCCCAAACCACAAAAGCAACAAAATCCAACACTTGGAAACAGCAAAACAGAACATAACTAAAGAGAAGAGATGTTCTCTGAAGCTTCAAAATAGAAGATTTAAGATTATAAATGGGAATTATAGACTCACCATCATGAGGGCAGCAGGTAAAGGCAGGCTGTCCTAGAGTTTGGGTTTTGTAGACAGAGAATTTAATGCCCTAGGCGGAAGTGTGGCGTATTGCCACAGAACTGTGATTTATGTTGGAAAGAACACGAATGAACTTACATAACAAGAGGAAACTCTTACAGTGCACGTCTCTTCAGTGCGCAACATGAAAAAACAGATCCAATTCTTATTTACATGTCAGAATTTTTTTTTACTACAGCTAAAGTTCAGATGTGGGCATCAGAGTGACACAGTCCTTGCTAACTTATCCCCACTGACTTAAATTTTACGTATCAGAAGCTGTCCATGATAGGACCATCTAATGCATTTGGACCATTGGTATGATGCCATGGCTGTAGGAAACAACACGTGTTCGTAGTACGCCTGAAGAGTGGAGGGATAAAACATGTAAGATAGTTATTTGCTGTGGCAATATTGCTTCTGAGTCCCTTCAGAATCTTCTCACCTGGAGACCTTCAATCCAGGCTCAAACAATGGGCTTTTAGTGAGTTAGAACTACCTAATTCCGGAGAAATGGGATACTCCTCCTGAAGTCAATTATATTTCCCCTACCCCTAAAGAACAATGAAAACATTCACCGTGAGCTATTTGACCATGAAGAGTTGCAAACGTCCATGAGAAAGATTAGACTTTGCTGATTTTCAACCTCCCCTCCCCTTCCCATCCCCTGTATGATATTTTTATGGAGAAGCTCATAAGTTAAAGCTCCACCGAGAGCAGCTCAAATTTGTCTTCAAAGTCTCAGCATCACATGTCATGTGCGCCAGGCCTCTTCGAAGCAAAATGTGAGAGCCCCACAGACGCTGAGCATACTGCAAATGTTTAGAACATATCAAAAAATCAGCAATTAAGAACACGGAACAGCTATGAAATATAGGAAATGATGCTCTGGCAGGCTGTAGGCATATGTCAGTTTTAAAACATTTGCACTTAAAAAAAATATGTCATCAGTTTCTGCTACTTCTCTGGTCTCCTCTGGCCTCATTTTTGGGTAAAAAGACTTTGGCACACTAAAAAAAAAGGGGATTTCTTTGTTTCCAGTCTGTCAGTCATATCTTGAAAGACCTGGGTGGCTTCTGATCAATGATCATTGAGGTTCTCGAGCTGATTAGTGTTTAGGAAGGATATGTTTTATCCTTTTGTTAAATGATACTTATTGTATAACAAATTCCTCCATATATTGCAAGCAAGGTCATTTGCTGGGTAGGGGGTCAAGATGGGGGCTGCAGTCACAGTCACGGCCACCATCTTGCCTCTTTTACCCTGTCTGCAGACACCCAGATTGTAGCTCTTTACTCCTGTAAAACATCCTTTAAATCTTAAGAAAAGGCTTTCCTTTCTTGTTATGCTTTGCAGAAATGCACTTCGAATTTGTTTAAAGTCAGGTTTTTGGAAATCTTTGCAAAGAGAATGGACTTGAAATTGTGTTTAATCTTTCAAACCAACTTCCTTTTTCACGCTAGACGTGGGGATATGGGGCCCAGGACGCCGTAATTGCTCCAGAGGCATTCTGTTGGCTGCTGAACCCCTCCCCACCCCTTTTCCTTTCTTTGTTAATTCCTGCAGCCATGAGACATTGTCTCGCCTTCCATTAAAACAATTACTGCCTTGTTGAAGCAAGTCCTTGGGACTTCAGAGTGGGGGATTATTAGGTTGTCCCCAGAGACATCTAGTTAGTTTATTAAATGAAGTCCCAATCAGGCAGCCAAAATGGGGAGGCAATAATGACATTAGACTGTTTTTCATCCAGAGCTGATGCTCGAGTGACAACTCTTTGCTGCACAAATGGGAAATCTATATGGACAAAGTTTAAGGGGTTTGTTCTTACAGAGGAGGGCGGGGCAAGAGCATCTTTAAACATGTTGAATCATGAATCAATTATTCTATTTAATTAATATCAAAAGATAGTCCAAATATATTTGTTAATGAAATAATGCTACAATTATAGGAGAAGATTATTACCAAAATGCCAGATAAATGATCCCTCAGATGTTATAAAAATATTAGTCAAGGAAAGAAGCAAGAGGAAAAACAAATTATTTATTTCACAACAGCATTTGTTATCTACTTCTTAGGTATCCATTTGATTATTAGAGATATTTAATTGCTTAGAACTCATACAAGTAATCAACTGATTTAATGTACATGTGGGGAAAATGTTCTTAAGAGGCCCACCTCCATATTTTCACTGATCTTCAGTAGCTCAGATCTGTCGCAGCAAGGCATTCCCTTTTACATACGTAGTTGTAATAAAAATCAGCTTTAAAAAAATAAAGCTTCTTGTTCACTAAACCATGGAGTGCTTTGCTAGTTTATCAAAAGATGTGTCTAGCCAACTAGTAGTGCAGACCTTATTCTTACATAGTACAGGGTTTTAATTACAAGTGGTCAGGGCTAAGCTAGGAGCAAAAGAGGGATTCCGCTAAGTGATGCGCTAAGAAAAAGGAATATAGATGCCGCATTTGCACAGGTGATACTCCTCTGTCCAGTTAGAGAAAGTCCTAACAGGAATAGACCAGATGGTTTGCATGCAAAGGGTCCCACATTCTGATTTGCGGCTTCTCCGGATCAAGCTGAGAAAGAGCTTTGAAGTGGTAATACAGGTCATATCAAAATAGACAAACTAGTTAGTCTGATTCTGTGGAAAGGCACCAGCACGCGATGCACATTAAAAAAGGGGCAAGGCTTTGGCTGCCTGCTTTCTGGCTGCCATCTTGACTTTTTTGACCCCATGGCATTTGGCTTTACATAGCTACCACCCTGAGAAGCTCTAGTCCAGTGTTTCTCAACCTCAGCAACTTTAAGATGTGTGGACTTCAACTCCCAGGATTCCCCAGCCAGCATCTTAAAGTTGCTGAGGTTGAGAAACCCTGCTCTAGTCTCTCTTAGAAATCCTTTTCTGAATGGCTTCCTTGTCTATAAAATTCAGTCCTAGCAAGAAGAAACCAACTGGGAGTAATGAAAAAAGAAAAAGAAAAACAAGGGGAAGCAGGAAACACAAATGCTTTTAACCCTAAACCGACCTTGGAAAGGGTCCTTTCCAGAGCAGATATTGAAGCTGGGAAGCATGTTGCAAACGCAGCAAAGGTGCTCGCTTTGTATCTGACCAAATTACCGGCATGCCCTGGACATCAAAAGCACGTTCTGAAAAGACAGAGCGGTATTTGTACATCTGCCGCAGTGAAGGGACTTTGTTTTCCGTGGCCAGTAGGAGAAGGATTACTCGGATCATCTGCAGTTTTGGAAAGAGACCGGCTCTTCCCCCAAACGTTTCAGTTTACATTTTCTCCGCAGCAGAGAAAACTTAAGGCTCATAACTTTCATGCCAGAACATAAAGTACTCAGAACATTCCCCATCCTTTATAGAGATTTGATGATTTGAATTATTTAACCTTGCTGGAACTGATCTTACCTGAGAACATGAAGCTGGCCTGGTTTTATTCCTCTCATTTCAGTGAACAGTAAGATCACCTGTGACTATTGAAAAACACTTGCTTACAGGTGCCTAATCCAGATCTTGATTCAGGCCATTCTGTGGTTCTAAATGGCCCACCTTAAACGCTTACCCTTCTGTTGCATCTCTAATTAATTTCATTAACTGTTGGATTGGTTTGTTTGATTGATTAAAGTTACATACCATCAGCTAGCAAGTTTTCACTTCTTTACACTACTATGCAGCTATTCCCCTCCATTACATTTATATCCACCACCACTACCACCACCCCACACAGACACACAAAGAGAAAAGAAAAAGAAAATTAAATTCTGATAGCTTTCTTCAAGGGACACTTTGAAGTGGGATCTTGGGGGGGTGTTGTTTTTTTTTAACAGCCCTAATTTGCTCGTCATCCAGGGTGTTCTTTTGGCGAGAACTGGAAATTGGTTGACCTTCCTTATATCAAGAAAAGCTGTCACACATTTTCAGAACTGGTTTTAGCCACGTTGGTTTTAATCAGCCTAGAGAGCTTATTTGCAGTCTCATTTCCAAATAACACACTTTGTCAGGATCTGAGGAGGGTTTTTTTGTCACTAGTTGCGTGTTGCATGATGTTGAAAATGTGAACAGAGATGGTTTCTTCTCCGTTTCTCACAATACAAGCACACAGGGTCACCCCTTGGAATTAAAGGGGAAAGGGTTAGGACTGGTGGCAAGAAGCTTGACGCACCTTAGAAGAAGGCAGTTGTTAGAAAACTACATCAGTGAGTCCATACAAGGAGGAGGAGTTGAGCTCAATTTGAGGGAGACTTTAGATGAGATTATTAAACTGTAGAATTTGCTGCCATCAAATGTAATGAGGATGGCCATGGGTCTAAAAAGGATCTAGACAATTCAGGAAGAAGAGGGCTGCTACTGACTCTTTGTCCTGGGTGTGTCCTGCCCTCTGAATTTCAGACCGCATTCCTTAAATACCGGCTGCTGCAGAACTACAGTGGAAGGAGGTTTTTTGAGAGCCACAAATACATCTGGTTGGCTGCTTTGAGAGCCAGAGTGATGATGGAGATGGACTTGGGCAGACAGCTGTACTTCTTAACTTTCACAGCCTTTTGGATCCATAGCACTTTCAGTGTTGGCTTGCCATGGAGATACCCACAGCTTTGTAGCAATGTGTCACTAATGGTGCATGTGGCAACAGCTCCATGTCGCTTGTAGACTCAGTGATGGATGATTGAGACAAAATGGATCTAACAGCACATAGCTGACAAGCCTTGCAGTGTGCTCCTGACCCAGCGATCTTGCCTTAAGCTGCACTGAGGCTCCTTTCTAAACACAAACATTAGCAGAGAGCACCCCTTGGTCTGCAGGCATTTAAAGATCAACAGAGGCCAAAAAAGCTTTTAAAGAGCCAACAAAACAAGGAGGGGAGCCATGTTCCCTTTCAGTGTCAGATTAGATTGCCATCTCAGGAGCTTCATTTGTGCAGGTACCGAGCACTCAGTGGTTTGAGCCTTGTGCGGAAAACGTGTACCCAGAAAACATCTGTTTCTTTCACCTACAAACCGCAATGTGTTGTGAGGAAGGCAGGGCTGTAGCCACAGAGACCCAGGGGGCTATGAAGATTCCTGCTGAGAGGATTGAGCAAGGTCTGTCTTCTCCCCTCCCTCCTGAAATGGGTATTTAAAAAAAAAAAAAGACATAAAAGGAGTAGATGCTTTTAAGGCATTCAGTATGCCACAAAGTGAGCAGATCAAGTTGCTTTTTCAAACTGGGTGTTCCTGCCCACATGTGCCTTCTAAAAGAATTATTTTTGCTACTCCTAACCCGTGCCGTTTTTTTTCCAACATCACATGGCAAACATTTATTGACTTCTGCCATTTCCATTACAGATAATTTTAGAATTAGAAGTATCAAAATAGGGTTTTTTACTGAAATCTGGAGGGCAATTGCTTTATTTCTCCCATATGTTGTGCCATGCAGCTGGCATTTTCATCTTCAGTTTGCATGGTTTGCTACCTTACAAGGACTTTGTGAAGGAAGTGTTCATAAAGGTGGGGAGAAAGAATATTGAGAATTTACCCCTTTCCAAATTACATTACTGGTCGTCTGGTGACAGTCATGGACAGTTTATCAGAATAAGGATCCTCCTTATAAGAGCCTTACTAAGGCTTATTCCTTACTCCTAAATAAGGGCCTTACTTAACAGGGCTGGATGGATTTATCCTGTACTGGCCCAAAGCGACAGTCAAGTAAGATGAATGAACTGGGGAGACTTGCAATGTGTGGCTTGCTTGCATTTTTGAAGGAAGCTTTACCTAAGGAACTTCTTTTTGTGTGTAGAGCTTTCTTGAACATGTGAAAAAAGTAGTATCCTCTGAGTTCCGAAGATTCCTAAAATTAGCAGGGACTCTTGAGACCATGGGGTGAAGGGTGCACCAGCCTCATCCTCTCATACTGCTGTGAATGTTTTCTGTAATAGGTGTTTTACAACATTGGGGTTTTTTTTGTTTAAAGTACCTGTCAGTGCTCTTTCAGAAAACTTATCTTCCCCCCATCCCCTTCCAGGCTTTGAATAAAATAGGATACTGGTGGAGAGACTTCTGAACTGTGGCATTATGGAGCCAGGCCTTGAAAATCTTCACCAAGTCTGCAGTTGGAGTTTGCTGCTAATGATTCCTGTTTTGCTTTCTAGAGACCGTGGTAAAAGACGACATGAACAACTACATCAGCCAGTACTACAGTGAGCCCAGCACTGGTAAGGTTGGTTTTTGAAACTTAAAGGCACGTTCAGCTATTGCTCCGGGGAGTCTTTCTAGGAGGGCTGAAAGAACCTGCTGCCCCTTCAGGGCCACCCATTGAATTTCAGAAGGGGAGTCAGGTCCTCTGATGCTGACCTTTTTGCCACAGCATCAACTTCTTGAGCCCCCCAGGAACATTATCATCTATCATTGTGAAATTTCCTTTTACCACTCGGCACGGCCTCAGCAGCTGGAGCGCAACACCCACCTACTTATCTCATGTGGCAGCTGAGGCCAGGAGCAGCCCTGTTAAATCCTATTCTGCAGTTAAATCCTGTTCTACAGAACCTATTTCCATAGTTGTATGTTCCACGGGATGGCTTCCATTCACATATATTATTCTCCCATAACAATTGATTGGTTGATTGATTGATTATGTGCCATCAGGTTGGTGTAGACCACATAGATAGATTTTCTCCATGAATAACATTTGAAGAGGTTTATTATTTGAAGAGGCTTATGTTTAAAAGACTGAATTACCTGATGATTCAAGGGTTAGGTTGGTTAGTGCTAATAATTTGTGCTGGAAAATATGCGTCAGGATATGATTCTTGAGAATGGGGACCTGAGAATGGGCAACAGGTTTGCTTCATATCCAGGTAGACACCACCAAAGTCTATTAAATCTTTTTTCATTATTAAACTCCATTAAAGTGAGCAGATTATGCCTTTTCCAGTTATTTCTGTGCCATTTGCAAGGGGAACTTCCTAACAGATTTGGATCATTGTGCCTGAACTGGGGGGCTTTGAAGGCACAGGCTGATCTGCACTACGCCTTTTAAAAGTTCTAAGGATTTAAAAATGCACATGCACTGGAAGTTCTGAATAACTGAGTTTAAAAATGTGGTCTCTTGAATGGCAACTGGAAAAAAATGACTTTTCATGGGAGAAGCAGACAAAAAGATAACAGAATGTGGGTAGAATAAGATAACTCCATACCTGAGAAGACCAATGTTAGAGCGATGGTCACTGGGTCATCTTCCAACTGTATTTCTCTCTCTGTGTATTTAAATGGAGGAAAGCTTTTTCAGCTAAAGCTCAAAGCTTATCCTCATTGCTAGAATGGGCCTTCTCCGAATCTAAGCTAGTGATCCTATAACTTTTTGCCTCTTTGAATATAGACAGTGGTGTCCCCGAAGGAGCCTTCTGCGTCATTACAACAGCAGCCATTGATGTGCACCAGCCTAATGTCTCCTCCGATCTCTTCATGGTGGAAGTGCCGATGAAGATCATGGAGAGCAACGGGATTTCCACAAGCGTTGCATCAGGCAGTGCCTCCAGGTCCACGGACAGCTCGGTCACCAGAGCCCAGAGTGACAGCAGTCAGACCTTTGGCTCCTCCACAGACTGCAGTACGACACGGGAGGAATCTTCTGAGTATTGCCCCTTGAAGCGGGCCTGTCAGGTAGCCCAAGGTGATCAGGTCAGTTCCTCTTCACCCCATTGCAGAGTCAATAATGCCGTTGTGCAGGAACTGTTGTCTTCCTTATCAGAAGACTCCTGCTTAACCCAAAAAGGACTGGATCCTGTTAACCTTAAACTGCCAAGCCCAGCAGGCTCTGCCACAGCCAGCCCTGAACTGGAGCATCGAGTCAATATTTACAACAAAAAGAACCAAGAAAACTTTGGTGTATTTCAGAAAAAGCCAGTAATCCACTTCCAGCAAAATACACAGATGATTGACAAGTATACGTCTTTGGAATCCAAAGAGCAAAAGTTCAGCAGCGTCCCAGACTCCTAGTCCTTTTGTTGAGATGCGGTTAAGACAGATAAACAGGAGGTCATTTGCCAGGGGTGGGACACACTAAAGCTTTAAAATGGGGTCCTCAGAACCATTCCGGGATGGATATGTTGTGTGGATTCAAGAGCGGAGAATTCATTTTTCAAAATGCATGAGTTATGAGAGCCAGCACGAAAAACTTGACATTTCTGCCACCCGAAGTCTTCGGGTTTCTCCCTCAAGGAAGAGTTTGGGGGCAGGGGAGGTGAACACTCTGTTAAAACAATGACCTCAAAGATGTATAGATTCTTAAGTGTGTTTTTTTTAAGCCAAGCGTACACAAATCCCACAATTTTTATTGAACTTTGGACAATCTTCTATCAGGTCAGGTTTCACCAGGGTACAGTACAAACTCACATCTCTCCTCCTAACGATTTCTTATAATTTCCCTTTGTATGTGACCAATTATAAATCCCTTTGTATAAGTATTGACAATTATTTTTGATCTTCCTGGGGAGGAAAAAAAACCCCTGTTTTTCAAGGAGCACTTTGAATGATGCAGCTCAAAGAATTTTAAAGTAAGTGTTCTCTTATTTTTAGCATGAACTTTGGGAAAGAAATATTTTGAAAAAAATAAAAATTGTTGCCTCCAGGATAACAGAACAAAAATGGGCATTTTACAAATACAGTTTTAATTAAAATATTTTTTTTAAAAAAAGAATATTCTAAATCATTGTTTTCATTTTTTTTCTAGCTGTAAGAGCTGATAATGTGGTAGCAGCTTTTGCTTAAAATAGTTTTTTTAAGAAAAATATTTTAAACACGAGGTTTATAATTGACTTTTTTCTTCCATTTCCACCACATGCTGAGGTCAACTCACATTATCTTTGCTCTTGCATGTACGAATTTTAAAATCTGCCAACCGGTCATTTCCACATGGAGTAATTTCAGACCATAAGATCTATACTTACATCTATACTATATCTATAGGAGCTGTTTAATTCCCAGAACTACTGGTTGGAATGTTGTTCCTCCCATTTGGGGTCAAGGTGGAGAATGTCTGCCTCCAAAGATCCAGTTACATTCAAAATCTTTATGGGCATAAATCTACTGCCATTGGTGACTGGTAGTAGACCACAAAATGGGGCATTCGTAGGTTGGTTTTGGATCCTTTGGCATTCAACACACTCCATTCCCCCCATTGGGCCCTAAGATCACGCCCCATATGCTAGTCCCAGGTAAAGTGATGAAATTAAGTTGCAGCTGTTTAGCCCAACCTGGTATGCATCTGGTCAGAGTGTCTGAGAATTCAGTTCTGGTTAGAGAAGCTACCCAACCTTCCAACCACCCAGATTAAGTTATCATTACCCAGCCTACATCAATCAGATTAGCTCTACTAATAAGGAAGAAGTCACATGTCCCAGGATAGACACTAGCTTTACCAATAATTGACTAGACATTAAAGATCCAGATCATAATAGAGCAGCAGATACAAGCAAAGGTTAAATTAAAACCTGAGTGACCAAACAGTACCAGAGTTGAGAGAGAAAACCAAGGTGACAATTATCTGTGTATACCTCAAATACCCAAAGCAGACCCCATGGGCCTGTTAAATATCGCTTGTTGCTAAAATAGTTGCTAGAGGCATTAACGAGGAAGCAACTGACTCTAGGAGCTGGGGAAGATACCAGTATAACACACAGTTTTTCAGCCATTAAAAGCTTGAGACAAGAGAACAGGTGCTTGAACAGCCAAACAAAATTTGAAAATCATCTGGAATTCATGGATTGGTTCTGTGCCCACTTTAAAATACAGACCAATCTTTCCCACCTATTGTCTTATATAAGGTGGTAACTCTCAGCATTCCCAAACAGCCCAGCCCAAAATGAAGAAGACGGGGGATTTTTGGAGCTGCTATTTCAACACATCTGGAGGATGTCAGGTTGGGCACGGACTGATTACACGCCATCAAGTCAATGTCAACTCTTAACAGCCATGTAGCGTAGATAAATATAAGGAATTCCCACAGCCTGACATAATACAAAATACGGCAGATGTATGTTTATTAAAGAATTAGAAAAATTTCAGGAAATAACGAAGCCAAATGGAAATGAAAAGGGCAAAAGTTGGTGTATTACAAGGTAGTCATTGGCATTTTTGGCAATTGTTACATTTCTACTTTGATAAAACATAATTTATACTGCTTAAAAATAATTTCTCTCTGCTGAAGTCATTCTCATTCCTTCCCAAAGATGGGGTAGCGTTCACTTTTTTAATGCTGCTGTCAACTCAGGAACAACCTGTAAGCCACACAAAACAACATACTTACTGTCAGCAAAATAACACTATGGAACTGAGATGTTTATCCAAGCCTAATAAGTAACATAAAAGAGGTGCTTAATTATGAACCCTTGAGGCGACTGAACATTTGAATTGACTTCACTTTAAAAAGTCAGACTGGCAAATATCCATGCCAAATGTGTACGCCTGGCCTGCCAATCAACTAACGTATTGATACATTTCTGTTTCTGGGTCCATTTTTTTGACCGCGAGAAGTTACTTTAAACAAAGATGTAATGACAGTCTACTCAGTTTCTTAAAAGCAGACAACTGAAAAAAACTTTCAGTCAAACCACCATTTTCAAGGAATGGATGCCAAGGAGTGGAGCCCGGTGGCGGAACTGCCGTAGCTAAACACCACCCGCGCAGCAAGGTGATTCCTTGCAGTCATCCAGAGTGTCAGAGGATGAGAACAGGTGGCATATTTGCTTACTAGTTACACCTGAACCCTCGCGCAAACTGTTTGTGTAAAATATCCATTACCTTGTCTTTCCAGACACTGTAAGCATGTCCTCGCTTGGAGAGATCCCAGCTGAACTCAATGTCTGATGAATATAGCCTCTCAATTATTTAAGAGAGCTACATTTCCATTAAGTGGAAATAATGTGGTCGTACAAAATTTATTAAGGAAATTGTCTACATGTTGTTTCTTCCGAATGTCACTTTGTCTCCAGCTTATTAAAAGGGCCTGTGTTTACTGCCAAGCTGGCAGACGATCGTTTAGGAACAGCATTAACTGCTGGCAGAGTTCTGACTGTCTTCCTCCATGCAGGAGGTCCTGCGGGGTATAACGAAAAAAGTCAAGATGGCGGCTGCAACGGCACAACTGAAACTCTTGTGACTTTTTACGTGTGTCGCGCCCAAACAGGCGGAGTTGCCCATCGCACCATCATGGCTGCCATCTTGACTTTTTCACAATACCCTGTGGACACCTGCCTCCATGGATATAAAAGGCACCCATACGGTCACACCCATCACATGACAATAGATACCCGAAAGGTGAAGGCAACAGACAAGGCAATGACCGTGAGAGATGAAGTCCTGCGGCAGCCTTAGTGAACGTGTTCAACACTGGAGCTTCAACTATACTATTATCTTAAATGAGGTTTACAGCACAATGTTCTAGCCTGGATTGTCCTGAAAGAGATTCCTATCCTTGAATAACAAACTTGCTATAAGAAGTAGTTTCATGCTTTACCTCCTGATAATATTTATCAATACATGACTTTAAGCAGCAAAATCCCAATGGATTCCCTAAATGTTGGCAGATATTCTGCACAAAACCTTTTCCAAGCCCTCACAATCAAGTTCTATAGCAACCTCGTCTTTTGCAGTTGTACTGAGACTACATCTTCATATCCTTGAAAAAGAATGTAGTCTATGGTGTAACGGATTATTGTGATTCATCAGAAGTCAAATGTTGTATTTACATGTATACCTGCTATCAAAATTGCAGGTCACAAGTTGATATGTTTGCTGGATGAAGGCAAGGTTTCTATGGCTTTCAGTTTTAGGGGTCAGGTGAAGAAATCAAGTGTTGCAACCTTAAAAATGATTACTTCCATGCATCAAGTCATGTTCAAAGTCTAACTCAACTCCCACCACCACCACCAAGAACAGGAATGTGATCGGGCCGATTCCTCTTGGAGCAAGACTCACCTTAAACAGGTCAGCTACTAAACCATAATCTGCAACTTGGAATATGGGAGCTTCAGGGTCTTTGTTGATAGCAACTATGGTCTGTAAGAGAATGAAATGTGGCTAATCAGAGAAAATGTTATTCATAGTACAGTCTATAGACTCTACAGTATTATGCACAGGTTTGCTATTGGCATGAATACAATGGCTGATCCAAAAAGAGTTCTCTTCTAACGTTCATAAAGAAATTCAAAAATTAAGAGCTGAACTGAAAACTTTTTCTCATGAATTCCTACATATGTGAATGTCAAGAGTTCTGGCTTGTGTGCCATCTGAAACCTAGATTGATACCTATTATCACAAGGACATTCTAGGCAAGAATCTTTTGTGTAGTAGAATTGTCTTGACTTCATTTCTCGCCTAATGGGATATGTTGCAAGCAACACATCTAAAAAAAACCCCAACTTCCTCAGTCTAATAATAGTAATGGACAGATTTTACTGGGGTATTCCTAGTACATGATTATATTCAAATCCCAATTTATAGTCTAAGTAACTAAAGCTTAGAAATTGGTTGCAATGAATAACTCTACCTCAGGGCTGCAAAAATTGCCACCCTAAGCCTTTTGGGGTCTCCAAGTAGACAACTTTTTTGTACAATTTTTGGATCTGGGAAGGAGGGGAATCTAAAAATCAATATAGAAAAGTCGTCGGCCTTCATTTCACCCTGACCCATCCCCAAAAGCCACCCAGCCCTTGGCTTACTGGTTAGACTCCTTCAGGCCAACCTAAGCTGCGCACTCATTCTGCTAGATGCAATCATGGTCCATTTAAGCCTCGCATCCATAAGACAAGGAAGGGAGGGACAGCAGGGTGTCCCACCCTCTACAAAACCCATTTTCTACTGTTGTAAGTGAAGTAAATAATACATTTTACTTCCAGAACGCTCTTGGGGATTCCCTAAAAAAATTTCCTCATACGTAATGGCAGATATTTCATAGCATGGGGGGAAAACCATTCAAGAGACTGTTAGTGTGATTACAGAGAGTTCTTTTAAAACCCTTTTAAATAAATGTGATTTGAGTAAATACCGTATCTTCTAAAGCTTCTAAGCGCAGAAGTAGGACACGGGTCAAATTGAAGTAAAATAAAAGTTTTGGCTCTTGAAAATCCATATTATGAGTTTAAATAAATAGCAACAATGAGGGACGGAAACGCCCAGCTAACCATCTAAATGCAGATCAGATTAGGTTTTGTTGACAGCATAAGGAGAGAGAATAATTTGATCCAGTCCAGTCAATAAAAAGTTGAACTCAATTTCTGAGTCCAGATCAGTTCAAGCCAAACTGATTTTTCTGTTCTTTACTGACTTACAGTATAATGCATAATTCCTATCAGAGAGGGCATGTTAATGCTAAATAGTTTCCTGGATTTATATTCATTGTTTTCTATTTTCTATAAGAAAAATCTAATTTATTGATTCTAACTGTGAGGACTTCTGAAGATATGAAAGTTTAGTAAAAACCAAAGTATTCTCCTATGACCAGAACTCTTTTGCAAAATCTAAAATAGCAGGAAATTGATAGAATTGCTTTATGCACCTTGAAATTACTCAACTTTTTGACACCCATCGATTTATCATTACTGACACAAGTGCCACAATTTCAGAATGGATTTTACAGTACCACATGTTGTTCCTTTACTACCATATCACCAATTCTGGACCAGTTATCACGTTTACTACATGCTGCTTAATCTAAATCACACATCTCAGGCAAACTGAAATATCTGCTATCCTGCAGAGCCAATACCTTAAAATGTTCATTCCATTTTTACAATTTAATAAAGTAGATTGAAGCTTTTAGCTAGTATTGCTTAGGGGAGAGGGCGGGTATGAATTTCAGATCTTTTTATTCTTCAATTTTAGGGCAGGGTCAGTTTTCAATGCAACTCTGTTATCTCAGAAGCAGATTTTACTACGATCAGTGATGTTTAATTTCAGGTAAATGTAGGACCTAATCCTTAAAATTCTTCCACATTCAGATTCCCTGGAACAGATCTTGCATTGGGAGTAATACACAATTAAAATGCATTTGAATGTTACTAAACAATCTCCATCAAGGGTTGTTATATTAAAATGTGCCCTGAATTTGCACTGTTTTGCTGCTTAAATATTGTTGTTTAAACTAAACAGGGAATGATAGCATTCTGTTGCACTGATTAAGTAACTCAGAAATCCTTAGGAGTATTTCTCAGTAAGAAAGGGGGGGGAGAGAATCGGATTCTTTATTATTTCAAAGAGAAAAGGGAATGTGTTGCAAACAGTAGAAAAAAAGAGTATCTCAGATAAACACACAACTCCTTTACAGTTTTATATACCTTTATAAAGCTTCAAAGAGAATGGGGGGGAGGAGAGAGAATCACATTTTGAAATTGCCTCCTAAAAAGGCAAGAAACACCTTATTTTAAAAACAAAATGCAGTCTTTCAGATAAGCTTGGACAAGGATCAAACAAGTGTAAACAGCACATGGGTACTAATGAGTTAAGTTTTTAAAGCTGTTATCATTTTATAATAGGTTTCCATCTGAATGGATAAATCGTGGAATATTCAAAGATGCCTTTTACTTTGTGGAATAGTAAATCCATAATTCAGACTGCACATTGTCATGCATGAATTCATGCCTTGGAGTCTGAAATATATGAAAATGAATCAAGTATATAGATTCTAACCCAGATTATTTTATTTTAACATAAAAATTCAATTTGTTTCTCACTAAAGGTTCCAGATCAGGATATATATGCCCTATTGATGCATTCTCCTGTGAACTCCTGAACATTATGTGAGTGACCAATAACTGATTTATTTTCAGAATGGAATTCACCTGTGGGCCTTTAGATTTTGCATCATCAGTAACAAAAAGAACTTTGAAAGCAGAAACAATCCACTTCTCTGAGCAACACACAAAAGTACTGTACTGTACCTTGCTATCTTTCATTCCAGCTAGATGCTGAATTGCTCCAGATATTCCTACAGCAATATATAGTTCCTGTATGAAAAAAAAACCACAATATTTTAAAAACATCCAATCTGGCGAAAAAAACATCCTGCAAAATACTGCAGAGGTATTGTGTTGGGTCACAAATACATTAGCTATCTCCGATTTCATGGACAGCACTGGGAAGAAGCTGTGTTGCCTATGCACACGCGTGATCCGTAAAAACGTTTCAGGGTCGGTTTTCTGAACAAACGTGAACGTCATTAAAATGTACATCAATGTCATATTAGTGTAGCTGCTAGAAGCTAGTCACACCAAAACTGGCATCGTTCACGTCCAGATTTAGCAGAGTACAAGTCATGAAACAACATAACTCAGCAAATTTCTCTGCTGGAAGCATTCAGTCCAATCCTATACATGCTAAGAAGCTGTCCTACTGACTTCAACGGGGCTTATTCCCTCATGCGCAGGATTGCTTCCAAATAGGAACATGCAAAATGGCCTGAGCACCAGCTGTTCTGTGCAGGGAACAGCTGGTTTGGGGTGATTTGTTCCCAAATCAGAATGTGTGTCTGATCTGGATACAGACCAAATCAGGAGAGTTCTTCCAGGCAGAAGAAGAGTTCTTCCAGGCAGATGTAAGAGAGGTGGGGAGTAAGAGATGAAAAAAACTAAGGTTGCCAGAGGCGGCTGTGGGGAGGCAAAGGGGGGAAGACTGGGAGCTGGGAAGCCAGGGAGATATGCCTGGCTGGGGAACTGCTTAGGACAGGAAGAGTGAAGCAGGCGATACACCAGTCTTGCCCTACTCACCCCGTAAAACTCCTCCAGGATCCCTAATGGTCATTTCTGTCAAACCATGGCTGATCTAGAATGGCTCAGCAGAATTTCAGGAACAGCAGAATTTCTCACTGCCCCACGCAACAGATGGCTTTTGACAGAGAGCTCTCTTGCTAACTATTTCATCAAGCACTTAAGAGGGAACAGCCAGACACTCTTGGAAAGCGAAGGAACAAGGCACTGTTCAACTAGTAACTGACACTGCCTGTTTTCAACCTCTGGTAAACAGAGATCCAGACTACAACTTCCATATTTTGCTGGTATCACCAAGAGCTAGGATGGTGTGATCCAACTCAAGGCTTCCATCTGGAGCAGTGTTTCTCAACCTTGGCAGCTTTCGGGTGGGTGGACTCCAACTTCCAGAATTCCCCAGCCAGCCTTGCCAAGGTTGAAAAACACTGATCTGGAGGGTGCACATATGCTGGGTCTCAGTTCTTATAGTTTCTAGCTAGTCTAGGCAAAGCTGAAATTTACCACACTACCCAGGTTGAACAAGGCACCTAGAACCCGTTCCACAGTTTCTGCGCTGTTGAAATCTAATTCATTTTCAAGAATCCAATATAAAGAGCAAACATTTTACCCCAATTCCTGTTTAAGGAAATACAGTTTCTCATTACTTGTAATCATCCACTGATTTTTGGATTCAATTCACACAAAAGCTACCCACCTATTCTTCGATTGGGCCTGTATTTTCCCATTACCAAGCCCACATTTTGACGAATTAAGTTTATGGAGATCATAATCCAAATTTTGTGAAGGATGCCAGGGTGCCAGATTCTGAAGCAGTCCATCTTGGGCTCTAGATGGACAAATTGTCTAACTGGTGCGAGGCAGGTTCCTATGTATTTTCCCCCAACCCATCATACAGGTTGGAAGAAACTCTTTTTGCCTTCTCTGGCCATGATTAGACCACAAATAATGACTTCCCGATAAATCAAGGCAACTTGCGTGCGTTTGCCAATGGAAGTGTGCCGTCTGTCCAGGATTGTCCAGTATTTGACATCTGACATGGCTCTGTCACTTCTGTACAATAACACTCAGGTCACCATACAGAAACGCCTTGATTAAAAACAATTAACTCATCCTTTTTTCTTTTTCAATATTGTACTATTTCATATGATCTTGTCGTGCTGGGAGAAGACACCATTCCAATCCCAACCACGGAATAATTCCAGTTACTAAAGAGTCCACTAGGTCGAACATTTTCATCCCTTTCTAATGCTTTTCACTTTAAGAACTTACAGGGAGCTTTGATCAGCTGGTACACGTGATTACTCTTAAGAAGCCTGCTTAGGGTGTCCGCTTGAGTGCGGGGCCGTGCATTTTTTTTTTTTTTTTTTTTTTTTTTCTC